TTAACAAGAATGAAGAGAACTTTACTCTTATCTTTATATATATTATCTAACTAGGGGCTACAAGACAATGTTCTATAGAACCTCCAATGTGTGTTGACTTTGTAGGACACATGCTTTGACTTATAAGGCAATTTTTTCTACGTGTGGGCTACATAGTTAGCTTGATCCTCAAGCTAACAACATGTGTGGCATGTGGCCAACTTGTCGACCACATTTCTAACCCAAAAAGTCAATTAAATACACCTATAAAGTCAAAGCAGCATCTATAAAGCTTCTAGAAAGCTTCTATGGAAGATATTATAGAATTAACTTGCTTTTACCTACTTCTACTTACTTCTACCTATTTATATAGGTAATTACTAGCTTACATGTATATGTCAGTGACATCATCTTATTTCAAGTCTTTCTAGTCTTCTTGTCTTTAGCAATAGCCATTTTAGTTTAATATATTATGATCTTTGAGTGATTTCTTAATATTTTTTAGTGATACAAGAGTATATTGAAATTTTCTTTTTTGAAATTCATATCCTTGACTTAGGATTAATATTGCCAATAAAATCTGTAGAGTAGGTAGTCAACAAGGCTTTTGTAGTTATATTGGATGCAACTACATGTCACAATTTTTTTTCTTATAAGCATGTTTTAATCTTATATGAAAAAATGGTGTAATTAAAAGCACCTTAGAATTTGATAGTCTTTGAAATCTTTTTATCTATGAGAACAAAATCTATAATAAAATAAATAACCTAAATTCAAGGAAGGACATAAGAAGAAGAAAGAAAGAAGTAAAAATTAAAAAAAAAAAATTAGAAAAAATCTTTTAATATCATGTAGAAATTAATTGTACAAGTAATTATATATTCATAAAATAATATAAATTAAAAAAATACAATGATAAAAAAAGATATTTATACACATATTTTTGGTTATAAATATGATTACCATAATAATTAGAAGAAATTAAAATTAAGTTATTTGGATGAAAGTCATCCAAAAGAAGTTTATTTCAACCATTTATAAAACATTTAAAAAAGTAAAGTCCATTTCAAACCTGAATAAGTATTGATTTAGTTTTTATTTTTAGTCAAAGAAATTTCAGAAGTTTTTGCCAATATCATAGATTGGAACAAAGATTTGGTATTAAAAAATATCAGATTCATTATCATCAACAAAGATCCATAATGGTTTCAATGATATTTTCATTTATTACCTTGAGAGCCTCTGCAGCCTTTGTTATGGATATTCATGCTTAATTCATCACCAACTCAATGTTTGTTTATTTCAAACCCATCTCATCCTCTTCTTTTTATTTTTCCTTTGTCTTTGCTATTTTTGATACCTTGAATTGCTTTGCTATTCAACTTTGGAGTTGCAAGCTCAAATCGTCAATCTTGTCTTCTCCAAATATAATGTATGCATCACATGTCGAGTTCATAAACAAGTCAAGCTTTAAAATTATAATTTTTTTTTGTTATATTGATAGTAAGATAAATTATTAGAAGCATATTTATAGTACTAGACTTAAAAATCTCTAAAATTCAACCCCATAATACTTGATTTAGAGATAACCTTCTCATTTAATATCCATTTATATGTAGTCTAGAGTCCAAACTAATATAGAATCAAATAAATTATCTAAAAAAGATAATTTAGATAAAATTGATTTAAAAATTATTATAGATATAAAATCTTTTATATTATCTATTTTATTTTATTTTTTTCTTTTAATCCTCTACATAGACCATATTATATCTACATTAAAATGCACATTAGTCTGGAGCAATTAGTCATTGAATCATATATCTTTATTTTTTTTATTGTCACTTGATTGATACAAAAGACTAACTTTACGTCAAGCTTTAGTATGACATTTCTACTCTTCTTCTTACCATAGCTCTATTTGAAATTTTTGATTGCAATCAAACTATTGTCATTGGAAAATATTTTACTTTTACATGAATTCTTCATATAGACAATAATCATTCATCCAAGATTAGGTCTTAAAAAACCTATGAGCTATGACAACACACTTACAGCAAGATATGAAGAAAATCCACCAAGCTATTCACAACCTATATATACATCACTACTAGTGGCAATACTAAAAGTCCAAATCATAGCATAATATCCTAATACCATATTTTTATCTTCAATCTATGTTGGGGTACTTTTGCTTTAGCTTGGTGGAAAGTTCTTTGACTTCTTGGATATGTATTGTGGATGGCCAAGCAAATATTAATTTGAACTCCAGCATAAAGTGATTATGATCAATAATAATTATAATAAGAGATGCTATCAACAAATAGAAAATAACATATATGTAAAAATTTGACAACACTTTCAAATAAAAAACTCTAAATTTGAAATCTTATTATTAAAACTATTTTTATGTATAAGAATTGGATGAAGATAAAATTAAAATATCTAAGAATATTAATTAAGTATAAAAAAGATTGACTTGAAAGTTCTAGAAAATACTTGAAACTACACTCTATAATTGTTTTCACTTGATTAAAGGTGGTTTTGAAAGTCATAGGCTACATCTTATACTATACTCCAATATTTTTTCTTTTTGTGGTCAAAGAGAAGATTTAAGTCTAATAAGAATAAATAAAATAACACAAGTCTCAACTTTTTGTGGTGAGTTTATGGTACTATAAAAGTCATAATATATTTAAAAAAAATACTAAATTTATAATAAGAAAAACACATAGAAACTTGTATGTTGATATTACAACATCCATAGTTTTATCATAGTCAATACTAACTTAAGTAATTGCAACAAGATGCTCTATTCTAAATCTATATGTTCTTTATTCTTCTATATCAATATTTGATACTATATACATTGGCCATTTTAAACTTTGTTTAAATAAATTGGTTGTTCTACAAAACAATAGTTTCTCTTGCATATATCTGTTTCACATCATAAAAAGGGTCCATATCTTGAAAGTATCTTTTTGAATTCTTTTGATTGTTTTTATAAACAATACTACTACAACATTCCATAATACTTTGAAACAATTTTTCTTCCTCTCTTTTCAACTTTACCTCCAAACATTACCTGATCAACTTTTGGAGCATAAAATCTTTTTCACACAATTCTCAATATAATGAACCAGACAATTATATTGTGATATTCCCAAATGCTATTATGAAAATTCATCAACAATTTAATCATTTACCAATAAAAATTTATGAAATGATATAATGTGACAATTAAAGTTTCATAATTATAACATTTTCATTCATTACTGTAAGAAATACAGAAAGTCTATAATTTTACCACAAAATGGCCTACATTGTCATTATACAATACTAGAACTGTACACAAACAACTACTTTCATTTCAAGACACATTCTCAAATAGTTGTAAGTCAGATTCTTTTTTGAGCACATGAATTAGTTGTCATAATTCACATTTCAAAAAGCATTATCTCTAGTCACCATATCATACAAATTTGTCAAAATAACATGAGATTGCTGGGATTGCAAACTTGTCAAAATAAAATTTTCAAGATTGCTGGGATTGCAAACTCGTGAGAACGAACTCACACAACGCACAAGCGTCCTTAATCCATGCCTTCCTTCAAACTGCGAACTGGCATCTGAAGCGCCGCATCCGACTTGAAAGTGTTACCCATTCATGACTTTTCTCCACATGCTGGTCTCCGTGTCGAGTGCACATTTTCGTCGAATATGATGAGTGTGATATGAGTTTATGCTGGACATGATACAAACGGGGTGTGCGCCGCAAGACCAAACCGCATGAATAACCTTGCATGTATCGTGCGTTTGTGCCGAAAATCCGTCTTCATCTCCCGGTATTTCATCTTGCATGCGTATGAGCAAGCGTGCAAGCTGGAATGTGGTGCAGATTCGCTCGGGAAGCGGAGCAGCTCTCTAGATTGCAGCCCTGTGAGGACAAAAAGTGCCGATACGAGACGCATGCGAGATATATGCTACAAGGTATGGAAGGCCTGCTTTGAGCATGATGTCAAAAACGAGAAAGTAGCCTACATCCGAGCTGAAGAATCTGCAGATTGGCTCAGGAATCGATGCGGTTCTTTAGATTTTGTCCCCTCTGAAAACTGTAGAGGCTGATATGGCGCACGTATGATATGGATGCCAAATCTACGAAGGTCTTGTTAGGATTCGTGTTGCCAGCAAGGAGACAGCCGGACCTTTTCCCAAGCTCCAAGATGGAGAGTCGTCTTGTGGGGGACAGTGTGCTCGCAAATCTAGATTCTCAAACTTTGCCAGTCATCGGCTGGTACGCTAGAACTGCCCAATCCCTTACAAATAACCGAACTGATTCCGTGAGTGGGACTGCCGCCACTGCATCGACTATCTCGACATGAGTACCTCCACGACGAAGGCATTCCTGCTGGAATTGCATTCGATTCTCCGTCGTCGTGATTGCTAGGCCTCAAGTGTTCGAGGTTTCGAAATGCTTTTGAGCACGCCATTCGTACCCCGATTCGTAACCATTTCTGAGCGTGACGCAGCCCGGATTCCAAACTCTTCGATGGTGGCCATCGAGCTTGGAACATGACAAGCATCAAGATCTGCGGCGTGACGTGTGTGCATCTTACTCGTTGCGGCATTGCATTCTGGAAGAAGTCGCAAGGGGGAAGCCCGAATTCGGAGACTGCACTCATGTTCCATCTCCACGAACAACGCCCTGGGGTATCGAACTCACTCCTACTCTCTCTGCGGCCATGGAACAGGGGGTTCCAACAGAGTTCTTGTCTTATGAATCAAAGAGTGAGGAGGAGAGGCGCGTCGGGAGGTGACAGAGTTGTGGAGGGTAGCGGGCTGTGGGATGTGCGGGAAGGAGCACAGGAATTGCCATCCTGTGGCGATCAAATCTATTGAGGATTGGGATTCAAGCGTCGCGCACGGAGAAGGGGCGCCACCATCGGGGGATGCCTTGCGAAGTGAGACCCCGGAATATCACCCACGCATGCACTACACAACTCCGCGTCCGTGCTGCCATAACTGCAGGTTGTGGCTCCTATTACCGTCCGTGCTACTCTACATGTATGTACGAGAATATACGTAGAGGGGTTACGGAGCTGTTTCTGCTCGTGCAGCCAAACCAGAAAACGGAATATTCTGGCTTTCAGGTGACACTGGTGGTGGTGCATGCTGCCCGAGCATTCATTTAAACCTTCGCACTTTCGCGGCATTCAAGATTCAGTCCCCAGCCGAAGCTCCATTTCCTACTTTCAGCAGTTCCCGAGTCACCTTGTTCCCCTCACGCTCTCGCAAGCTGCGCGTCCCCTGCGGCACACAGCCTTCTGCTGCCGCTTGTGGCGATTTCGACCTGGAGGTTACGGCGATTCTCTCGTCAAATTTCCATCTCCGGATCATCGTCAGGTCTGCTTCTATTCTTTCTGCTCTTTGTTTTCTTCGATGCGTGCATTCCTTGAGGGCTTGAAGTGGCTGTGAGTGCAGTGTTTGGATGATGAATGCCTGTGCATAATGTTTGCAAGAAGTGCCTCGAAGACATAGGAACCAAAGCAGATTGTATGTTGTCGACTGTTAGAACATTGAGCCAATTTGAATTGGTGAAACCTTTTCTGTCATGCCAATACAAACTCACGAATGTGGCGTTGTCGTGTTCAGCCGAATTGGAAGCAAACAACACCAGAACTTTTTAGCGCGGGGCGGCCCTGTTTCGGAGAGTCCTTTTGCGCAGGTATGTCGTGGTCGGAAATGCGCACCATGAACAACTCGAATCCAAATCAGAGTCTGTCTCAAGGAAACGCGGAATCGTCGCCGGGTCCGAGCTCGTCCAGGCCACCGGCTCCACACAAGAGTTGGTCCGGGACCAGTGGCACTAGCAATGGCGAACGGAGCACCGACGAGGCTGTTGGCGATTTGATCGCTGCACGTCTCAACTCCTTGGTGCAAGGTATTGTGGTCTAAACCTGGGCTCCACAGATGTTCTTGAATGTGCAAGATCGAGGCAAGATCATTCTAGGTGAGAGGGAACGCAGAATGGCCTGAGTTGAGGAGTCGTCTTGTGGTTGACGGAACTAGTGCGTGAACGTTGATTCCGTTGTGACGAAGCGGGGAGTAGATGGCGCAGCCTTCACCAGGTAATCGTTGGGCGAGCGTAAGCGGCACAGGTGACGTCTTCGTGTGTGTGGAGAAATTGTAAGCAGTCAGTCATGACACCGTTGCCATCCCGCAACGATGTTGCCGAGCCTCGGGTCACGGTAGCGTGCGCTCGATCAAACTTGAGGATGATATGGCGCATTTGTTGGCCATATCCGTCGAGATGCGACGTCCTGCCGGGTACTATCGATGTAATCGTGATGAGATGTTGAATGCGTAATGAGAGCCTGAGGCTGGTAAGAGTCGAACCTCACCGTTCTCGTTTGTGACCGCAGACTGCATCCAGCAGTTTACGTCATCGAAGGAAGTGTTGCAGCCTTTCATATAGTGAGCCCAAACATCAACCATGACTTGAACTCGTGTTTTCCCTTCGTCACTAATAAGTACCTCGCCTGTCGCAATTCCATTTGCATTCCAAGAGTTCAGAGGTCATGAGAGCGAGTAACCGTTTGCCATCATAGCGCTTCACCATGTTTTCGCTGCGGACTATCATTGCCTTGTTCGAGAATAGCTCACGGAGGACTAGCGACATGTTTGTTTTTCAGCGAGATAAAAGGGAGCTCTGATGACATCACGGAGCGGCTGCGCCAGTCTCGAAAGCAAGCAATGCTGCGTAAAGACGAACTAGAAGCAGAGCGCCAGGAAGTCCAGCAAGCGGCGTGCAAAGTGTTACATGTGCTCAACGACACGATGGATGTACAGCACTAAACTCCCTGGAGATTGAGTTATGGGCTCAAATTTGTGACTCGGTCCCTGGATGGATTAGATCGTCGGTTTCAACTGTTTCACTCGACCTCTGTACTCCGGTCAACGTTACGTGAGTGAACATTGACCTTGTCGGGAAAATGTCGCTGTTTGTGGAATGCAGGAACTGTACAATCCTTGAACCTTTATTTCGAGTGACCTGTGGAGGATCCCTCGCAACAAACTGTGATCAAATTCTACTCTGATGTGATGGAGAGGGTGGCATCCAGAGGCAGAGCTCGTGTACGTCCGTGTCGAAAGTTGCGGTTGAGTCTATAACACGGGCAGACTTGACGACAGACTTCTTGTTCTAGTGGGAGGCTTTGCAGATATCTCGTTCAGCGCTTGGATAAACTTCGATCGGGCATTGTGTGCGAAGACGTGCACCATGTACCGCCTGCCCTGTTTCCGGTCCGGTTCGGTTGGAGATGCGTCACCCAAACTCAGAACCCAGAGCTCTGAATTTTGGTTCGATATTGTTTTGAACATCACATCATGAAGAGTCTCTCCGCTGTGTGCAAACCGTTGTGGACACCAGAGTTCTGTAATGTACGGTTCCCATTTTGCAATAAAATCGTGGATTGGTTGAGCCTGTGTCCGACGACCGAGTTTCCACCGTTCGGTACATGCAATGGGTTTTTGTGTGGTCGGGTACAAATGTGAGGGAGTGCCCACGAAAACCGAGGGTGTGGATGGAGGAACGATTCACGAATGTGCAGATATCTGTCCTTCCTCCTTGTGTGACATTGATGTTATACAACCGGGTTGTTTCTTTTCTCGCGCTCTGTCTGTCGGTCTGTTCGTCGTTGGACTTGGACGACCGGCGCTATGCACAAGCCTCTCGGCCATGAAACATCGACACGGTACTTACTAAAAGGTGGTCTTCTAAAAGACTGGCTGCATCTGATCGGCACAGGGCTGAGCACAGAGCTGTTACCTCGACATGCAGCGTCCGTGCAGGACCTTCGACCCAGACCAGCGGCAGGGTAATGAGATTTGAGGTCTATTAACTGCACAAATTACGTGGTAGGGTGTGCGCATGGCGAGCGGACCGATTGGAATTTGGCAACACTGTTGATTGGCCCTGACATCTACTGAATCTTGCTTTAGTGTTGTCGTGACGTCATACCAGCGGTGTGCCTGGGGTCTCAGCAGATTGAGAAGGAGGGGTTGTGTCTGAACAGCGATGGTAATAAGAAGGGGTAAGAAATTGACCTTGCGAGCAATGGTGTTACTCAATGTGAGACACATGGGTGTGGTTATAGCTGAATGGGATTTGGTGGACTTGGGAATCAAACCAATCAGTACCGAAGTCTGATATAATATTGACATCATGAGCACCCATTGGAGCTGTATTTGAGTCGGATAGAAATACACGGGTGGATTTTATTTTAGAAGAGATAAAGTAGTTGTAATGCAAATCAAGCCCTCAGATTAATTTGGAATGACATATATAGATTTAGTCGATGAAGTGCAATATGATCCAATGTTGAGATGCAATGGTCTAACTTGCAAAGCTTGTAAAACTTAATTTCAACAAATAGCTACAAAGAGGAATAGAAACAATCAAAAGTCAAGTAGAAAAGGAAACGGGTAAAACCACAAGTTGTTATAGACATGATGCTTGATACAATCCAAAAGACATTAAATGTATGTGTTGTTAAATAATAGAGAAATACAATCCAAAAGACATTAAATGTATGTGTTGTTAAATAATAGAGAAATACAATCCAAAAGACATTAAATGTATGTGTTGTTAAATAATAGAGAAAGTAAGAAAAGAAGACATAATTATAAAACAAGATTTAAAATTTTTAAAATAAAATTAAATAGCTACATGGCATAGCTATAAAAGTTTAAATATTTGAATCTTTTGAAGGCACATATTATCTTTCTAACATATTTCTATCTTTTTTTATTTACTTCTATATATATTATAATTATTTAAAAAAATCTAGACGTCCATTATATTATCTCATGTTCAAAGCAACAAGTCCTAGAAAAGATTCTCAATTTATTTTATAAATTGATAAAATTGAAGGTCTATTAATTGATATTAGCAAGAAAGTTTGATCTATATTTAAGACAAAGGTGGTTGATAGATTCCTTCAATGAACTTTATTGTTTCATATTAAGATTAGAAAACCATCTTATTATTTAATTATTATTAAGGCCTTTGTAACTAACTTCAAATAACATATTTTTTATTCTATCATATATAGTATCTACCTCCAATAGTATCACTAAGCATCAAGAGTATTTTTTAAGATTATAGTATCAAATATGTTATATCTTGCCATTTATTTAAAAAATGACATGTCTCTCATAAGAATTTTTATTTAATTTCTAACGTAATCTAAATAAAGATAATTTAAATTTTTTATTAAAAAATTCTATTAATAAAAGTTTTAAAAATAAATTTATTGACTATTTATTCTCCATGTTACAAAAATATTCTATATGTAAAAATTTGAATTTTTTTCTTCTTGATTTATATTATTATATTATTAATATTTAAACAACGATCTTAGTAGATGTTGCCAATAAAGAATAGCAATAAATTTTGGCACATTTGTAAGATTTTTTTATGGCTTTTATATGCATTCACTAACATCATATTTGTACTAAGCTACAAGATGTTTTTATTTTGTTTTGGCACTATCTTGAACCTAAGAGTTCTCCTACTTCAAACTATTAGTTATTATTTATTTTAATAAGAAATAATAGTATTTTTATTTTTTCCGTGTATTAATTGCAATACAAGACTCAAGAAAAAAAATATAGAATATAAGATGGATCTTTATTGTTTGCTGTAATTGTAATCAATATAGAAGAAATTAATTTATTTTTGGATAATAAATGGATCTAATCTTTGATAATCAAGCTTCTTATAAGATTAATTAGTCTTGATATTATGACAAAGTAATTATATCTTATTACAAACTTTAAATATAAGATGTTCTATTTTAAAATAATGGCATTAGCCTTTTGTCATTTTTTAAATTCTTTTGATTATACCTATATATTTTATTATATAAAATTCTTGCTAAGAGTAAAAAAGTCGTCAAATTTATTTGATAATTGTTGATAGAATATTACAAATATTATTCTAATACTTTATTTTTTTATTTTTTTATTTAATAAATTTAAAAATAAATAAATAAAGATAATTTGATGTCTATTTTTGTATTTTTAAAAAACTAGCATGCAACAAACATGAAGTTCATGTTCTTCTATATTCTTAGAATAAATTAAAATATTATTTAAAGAATAGATTATAAAATCATTAAAAAACTCAAAAAAGACATCATTCATGAGATGCTAAAATATACATGGTGCATTCATGAGTTCAAAAGACATGACATTATATTTAAAATATCCATATTTAGTTTAAAATATAATCTCCCATTTATTTTTTTCGATGCATACAAGATTATATGCTCCTTGTAGATTTATTTTTGTATAGATCTTTGTTTAATTGAATTGATCAAAAAATCTTGAAATCAAAGGTAGAAGATATCTATTCATAATGGTGACCTTCTTGAATCTTTAATAGTCTACATACATTTGCAAAGATTTAGTTTTTTTCTTCACAAATAATATGAGAGCTCATGTTGGAGATTTAAAATAAAGTATGACGTTTTTAGCTAAGTTCTTGTCAATATACTCCTTGAGTGCAATCAACTCATTTTGCAATAAACTACAAATTGGTTTAAATAGTAATTAAGTTTCATCTTGAAGATCAATGGAATAGTAAAAAGAACAATGCTCTAGAAGAATATATACATTCTTTTTCTCAAAAATATCTTAATAATTTTAATATTAGCTTGGAATATCATTTTAAGTCTTTTCTCTATCAAAAATAAGTATGGCATATATATCAAAAGTTGACTATTTTTTTGTTACATATATAAAAGTACTTGCATCTAATAATAAAGATTTTTTTGTATAAGTCTTAAGGATTTTTATTCAACTAGCATGATCTTGGACTAAACTATGGAAAAAATCAAAATTAAAAGAAGTTTAATTTAATTGAAGGTTATACCTCTTTAGCCACAATAATCTTTAAATAATTAGATTAGATATGAATCTAAAAATATTGAATATTACTAAGCTATTATGATCTTTAATTGCTACATCTATTTTTTATTTTTTTTATGGATAATATCTTTAGATGACAATAAATGACCATCTATGACTTCTATATCTATGGATTTATTTTTCTTGGCTAGAGATACTTTTTATTTTTTTACAAAGGCTTCATTTATAAAATAAGTTGAAGCTTTTGAATCTACCAAGGTAAAGACTTTGAGATTTTTTGGCTCTAAAAAAACTTCTATTATAAAATAAGATGAAAGATTTGAGGAGATAATAGGATCTTTACTACATATTACGCATGATTCTAATTGCACAATTCTTATTGTAATTGGAAAAACTTGTTTTCTAATACATCATCCTCTTCAGTAACTATGCTTCTCATTTTATGGTTGCATTACTTCTTTGAACAATATTAAACAATATACTTAGATTCTTTATAATAGAAGCATAAACCTTCATGATGGCATTGATTTTTTTCTTATTCAATAAGAGGCTTGAAACATATCATATCAATTTGAATTGATTTCAATCCTAATGAATAAGTTTTTTATAAGTTATTGCTATAGCTTGTTTTGTACCTATTAAATCAAATCTTTGTTATTGGCATCTTTCAAAAAGTCAATTATTGCATGTAATGGCTTAAGCAATAAATTTCTCTAATGAATTTGTTCTTGGCATTATCAATAATAAATCTTTGATGTTATCTTTTAATCCATATTGAAATTGATTGAGAAGGACTTTATCATTTCAATCTATATTATAAGCAAGATTTTGTTATTTGACAGCATATATAATATCTAAACATGTTCTTTATCATAAAAATATAAGTTTGATTTCTATTACCATTTTTTGATTATTTTTTCTAAAAGTGGCCATAATTACTTCTAAGAATGAATTGAGATCATAGAAAAGACATAAATCTTTTTCCATCAAAGGTGCAAACTAAGAAAAGGCAATTTCAAAAAAAAAAGCACCTATAAATCTAACTTAAGTGAATCTATAAGGATATTGAAAAGGATGCAACCTTATATAAAACTTTATTTATTGTAAAAATCTTCAAAATTTTGATCTTGATCTATTGAACTTCTTTGACATATTTATCCTTGTCTCTCTCATACTTAGAGTAGTAAGTCTTCTTGAATTTAGTTATCAGATTGATTTCTTTTAATTGTATAATTTTTTGGCATAAACTTAGAACTTTGTTCTTAATCTCTTCTATAAGTGACAAAATACTATATCTATGATTGATATTAGAGATACATAAAATTTCTACCTTTAAAATATTAATAAGTATATAAAGATGTATAATAGTTATAAATCTATTTTTAGTTTATTAAAAATAGAATCTATAATTTTTTCTTTTATAGATAATTCAAACAAATCTAAAAGTCAAATTAAAAGAAGATAATTTGCAACCTCTAATATCAAATAAAAATTTCTACAAAGAGACGTAGTCCTCTCTTTAAGAAAAATAATTAATGGAAAATTAAAAGTGAATTTAAAGATAGGTGGTTTGTAATATTCAAAAT